AATTTTGTAAGAAATTCTATGATGAATAAAAATCACAAGTTTTTTTTATAAAATCTCGTTTACTTCTTTTACAGACTAAGTCTTAACAGAACAGACATGTCACTCCTCACTTCGTTGCTGATGGCCACAGTAATGAACTCTAACACTTAATTCAGATCTGACTACCACACCCTCAGTAGGATTGCAAAGCGCGCTATACAAATGATTGTCCATTGTCGGAGCGGATGCGTTCATGGGAACAAGTCTGTAAACCGAGATGTTCATCAATAAACCCAACAAACAAATAGTTGGTCTTGTTAAAAATGATCTTTTTGGAGTGGGCGTATCAATGAAGACTCGCATGTAAACCGAACCGATCATTCAAAACCCAACAAACGGATCGTTGGTCTCGTTAAAACTGTTTTTTTCGGAGCGGGCGTGTCAATGAAGATTCGCCCGTAAACCGAACAGATCATTTAAAACCCAGCCAGCAGACCATTGGTTTTACTGGCAACGCAAGGCCCATGAACGGGCGTGTCAATAGCGACTCGACCGCACGTCAAACAAGTCTTAAAAATCCTAAGACATACTCATTTTCAGGAGATATTTACCACCCGAACGCTAACTAGGTTACTTGAATGAGACAACTTTTGGAGTGGATATGGCAACATCGTCTTCCCATAAACCAGAACGATCGTTAGGAAGCTCGACAAGTATGTCGTTAACTTCTTTCTTACGAGTCCAACGGGTTTGGCAGCAAACCACAATGATCACTACAAGTCCAACAAGCATGTCGTTAACTTCGTTCTTAAAAATACAACGAGCAATACTTAGTGGTTGCAATACTTAGTATTTGTTCACGAAAGAAAGCACTGTTAACTGAACAAGACAAGAATACCAAAAGCCGAAATTATAATAGCATCCCGCATCAAAGCAGGGCAAAAAATATAAGTCTGAAACAAAAACTAAAACCATCCAAGTGTCAGAACCAAATCCAGAATCTAAGCAAAATGAGTAGCAACACACTGAAAATCTGAAAAATAACAAAAGCAAAAGTAAAGCTAAGCGGTTGCCACGACCTCTGTCCCGTCCAGCACTGCAGCCTCATTTATCGCATCCTCCGCGGGCACCTGCTCTGCAGCCTCGTCCGTTACCGCCTCCACGGGCACCTGCTCAGATATCTCGGCATCCACGCTGGCGGAAGGAACATACTCGCCACCCTCAGATGCATCTCCTGAAACTGGGATAACCACATCGGTAACCCGCTCCACAAGCACGGTAATAGGCTCAACAAGGGCAAGAGCGAGTGCACACTGCGCAGGAGCCGACGACTCCATAGTAGTTGGACCCGATGCAACCCTCTTAGCACTAAGACCGGATAAACCCGGAGTCTCGCTGTTGGACCCTGAGAAGTTGCGCAGACCTAGCGACGCTGCAGCTAACTCGACATGGTCACCGTCATCCAACCCAACCGGGAGGGCGTGAAGAATCATCCTAAGGTTCGCCACCTCGTCTGCAAGCGTCTGATGGGCTCCTTCCGGCTCAGTCACCGTCGCGATAAGATCTTCCTCCTCAGTCTCAAGATCCGGAGGAGTCTCGCTCTGAACCTGTTGTCGAGCTGTAGGTTGCCCTCGGCCTGAGCAAGGTCGAAACTCCTTTTCCTAGCCCGCTCAACGACATCGAACTGCCTCTCACTACAAGTAAAGGTCTCCTGGAACTCGGTTGTCATCTCGCATCTCGCCTTGTGAACGGCATGCTGCACAATCGCCTCTTGCTTTTCCAATGCCCTTAGCTTGGCAAAACAGTCTTCTAGCCTGTGGAAGCGACGAGTGTTGGAGGCAGTCAAATCCTCGTTGTCTTTCTGCATC